ATCATCAGCAACACCACCAACAACAGGTGTTGGCGAGGATGCGGGGAAAAAGGAACCCTCTTACACTGTTGGTGGGAATGTAGACTAGTACAACCACTCTGGAAAAAAATTTGGAGGCTACTTAAAAAGCTGACATCGATCTACCATTTGATCCAGCAATACCACTCTTGGGGATATACCCAAAAGACTGTTACTCCAGAGGCACCTGCACATCCATGTTTATTGCGGCACTATTCACAATAGCCAAGTTATGGAAACAGCCAAGATGCCCCAGCACTGACGAATGGATTAAGAAAATGTGGTATCTATACACAATGGAATTTTATGCAGCCATGAAGAAGAACGAAATGTTATCATTCGCTGGTAAATGGATGGAATTGGAGAACATCATTCTGAGCGAGGTTAGCCTGGCTCAAAAGACCAAAAATCGTATGTTCTCCCTCATATGCGGACATTAGATCAAGGGCAAACACAACAAGGGGATTGGACTATGAGCACATGATAAAAGCGAGCACACAAGGGAGGGGTGAGGATAGGTAAGACACCTAAAAAACTAGCTAGCATTTGTTGCCCTTAATGCAGAGAAACTAAAGCAGATACCTTAAAGCAACTGAGGCCAATAGGAAAAGGGGACCAGGAACTAGAGAAAAGGTTAGATTACAAAGAATTAACCTAGAAGGTAACACCCACGCATAGGAAATCAATGTGAGTCAATGCCCTGTATAGCTATCCTTATCTCAACCAGCAAAACCCCTTGTTCCTTCCTATTATTGCTTATACTCTCTCTACAACAAAATTAGAGATAAGGGCAAAATAGTTTCTGCTGGGTATTGAGGGGGGGAGCGGGAGGGGGTGGAGTGGGTGGTAAGGGAGGGGGTGGGGGCAGGGGGGAGAAATGACCCAAGCCTTGTATGCACATATGAATAATAAAAGAAAATGAAAAAAAAAAAACAACTTTGTTAATAGATAAACAAGTGTGTGAATGTGTATGCTGGTGTGTGTGAAACAAAAATGTAGAGATTTTGCATGCAATTGAAGTTATTAGCTTAAAAGAGATGGTTACAGGAACTTTTAGGCAAATCTCATGGTAACCAAAAGGAAAACAAAATTAATGGATACAAAAAAACCAAAAGAATCAAATATATTACCATAATAAATCATCAAAATCACAAAAGACAACAAAAGAGGGAGAAAGGAGCAAAAAAAAAAAAAACCGCATAAAAAGACTGAAAACGAGAAGCAAATGGCAATAGTAAGGTATTACAATACACAAAGTAAATATGTAATTCTTTACCTATCAAGAATTATATGAAAAGGGAATAAACTAACCACTCAAAAAGCACAAATCAGCTGAATAGATTAAAAAAATAAAATCCAGGGGTTGGGATGTAGTTCAGTGGGACAGCATGTGCTTAGCATGCATGAATTCCTGGGTTTCATTCCCAGCACAACACAACAAAGCAAAATCCAAAAGCTATGAAACAGTATTAAGTGTTGGTAAGGTTGCAGGAAAAAATAGAACGATCACATGATTTGGTATCCTACTACTGGATGTATATCCAGAGGACCTGAAAATAGAATGTAAAAGAGATATTTACATTCCTATGTTCACTGAAACATTATTCTCAATCTCCAAGACTTAGAGCAACTTAAATGTTCATTGAGAGATGAAGGGAAAATGATAATGTTACATATATGTAGCAAATACTACTCACCCTTAATAAAAAAAAAGGAAATCGTGCTATTTGTGACAAAAGAGGTAAGTCTATAGTACACATTATATTCAGTGTAATAAATCAGAGAATGATAAATACTACATGATATTAATTATATGAGAAATTTACAACATTCAAACTAATAATAATAATAGCAGAGAACAGAATGGCAGTTGCTAGGGTCTGTGGGGAGGAGGAAACATGGAGGAATGTGCCGACTGTAACGTTTCAGTTATGTAAAGTGAGTACATCCTAGTGACTTTCTGTATAGCACAGTATCTATAGTCACTGTGCCGTTTGCTCAGAGGGGAGAGTTGTGTACTGCTGTGCTCCTCTTAATAAGTTAAGAGGGACAGAAGAAACTTTTGCAAGTGATGCATATTTTATGGCATAGATGTGGAAATACTTCCATGACTTTCATCAAGTTACATGTTTATACACATTTTATATGCCAATTGTATCTCAATAAAGTATTTTAAGAACACAATTACAAGATAAATTTTGAATCAAAGAAAAAAATTACCACTCATTTTATCTCTTACGGAATCTTGCTTGTTTCAACTTTTCAAGTCAGTTTATACTTTTTAAACTAAAGAATGAAAGGTGGCTGGATGGTGGTAGCTCATGCCTGTCATCCCAGCTACTTGGAAGATATCAGGAGGATCACAGTTTGAAGATGGCTAGGGCAAGGAGTTTGAGAGAACCCATTTCAACCAATAACTGGGCACAGTGGTGGATGCCTGTCACCAAGCTACATGGGAAGCTGAGATCAGGAGGATTGTGATTCTAGGCCAACTTAGGTAAAAACATCATGAGACTCCATTTCAACAGAAAAAAAGCTGGGTGCGGTTGCCTATTCCTGTCATCTCAAAATAGAAGGACTGAAGTCCAGGCAGTCCTGGGCAAAAAGTGAAACCCTGTATCCAAAAACGCCAGAGCAAAAAGGGCTGGAAAAGCTCAAGTGGTAGAATGCCTACCAAGCATGAAGCTCTGAGATCAAAACTCCAGTACTAAACAAAGAAAAAAAAATTAAAAAAATTAAAGATAATTGTTAAATAATTTTTGATAGAAAGAACACTATTTTAGACTTGATTTCCAAATGTAATAGCCACTAAATACATGAGGCACTGGCCACATTTCCAGTCCTCTGTAGCCACCTATGGCTAGTGGCTACTGTGTTGGACCACGCAGGATAAATACTTTGCACAAAAATTTGTATCACATGGTGCTGATTTTTATACCTTTCCCTACTTAACTTGAATACACCATCTTTTTCTATTAAACACATGCATTTGATATAGTAAAATTTAAGCGTCTTAATTCCCTAGAAATAAATGAAGGGATGATGCATAACCCTATCTGCATGCTCTTCAAACCTTCCCCCTAAACAAAAGCAAAACTAGAAACAATTAGTTGGGCTTTTTCTGTGCTGCTTAATTAACCTTAAATTATCTACATGACAGTGTGCAACTGAATGACTGATAATATAAGTGCAAATTTCTCCTTCTAAGGAGGACTAATGTTGACCTAGAGGTTATATGTGAATAAAATTTCCTCGGAGGCCTCCAAGAAAAGGCAAGGTTAACTTTCACTCTCGTGGGTGGACTACGCTGTGCTGTTGAGTTGCTGAGCTAGATTCTTTGGAGGTGGATATCTCATTGACATTCCTTATGGGGCTTGAGTCTCCAGTGGTTCACCTCTTCCCCCTTCTACCTGCTGAACAGTTTTCCTTTTCCCTTTTTTCTTTCTGCTTGCTGGTGAGTGTGTGATGGATATACATGTATAGGTGTTTGATGGAGTGGGTAAAGTCAGGGGAACAAGAATCTATTGAAATGGTACTTTTATAAACCATTTTTCTTCATGGTTGTTTCCCACCTGCAGACCTTTAACCAGGGAATGCAGAAAACACACAAAGAAACTAAAGACCCCCCCCTATCAATTGTAACCCCACCATCCAGAGAAAAGTTCTATGTTTTTTCTACGTGATACTAATTCAGATCATTTATACTTTTAAGGATTCAGCTTTTAGCCACTTAGTACTATATTATGAAATCTCTTCTTTATCATCATCAGTCTTTGAAAACAGTTTCTTAATACACTTATCCCATAACTTACTTTACCATTTCTCTAGGAGATTAAGGTTATTTCCAATTCTTTTCCTTTCTTTTTTGACACAGGGTCTTGTTATGGTAGCCCACATTAGCCTGAAACTTGCTAAATAGACCAGGCTGGTCTGGAACTCACAATTCTCCTGCCTTTACTTTCTAAATGCTGGGATTACAGGGGCATGTTACCATGCCTGGTGAAATTCTGATTAAACATGACAAATATCAATGTATATATTTTGTGCATCACTCTCAACAGTAGGAAAAAATGAAAAAGGCAAAAGAGTATTAATGTAATCAATACTTCCAACTATTGTCCAGAAAGTTTATAACAATTTAGATTCCAATATACAGGAAATGTGAGTGTCTTACCTCACCATTTAAAATACTAGGTGTTGGCCTAAAAACATCTCTACTCATTTTCTAAAAGCAAACAAACAAAAACCCCAACTCCCCCCAAAAAATCCTGTGTATTATTGTAGTTTTACTTTGCATTGTTAAGATTATTAATGAGGTCTAATATTTTTCATTTTTTTTCTAAACATGTTCCTTGCTTAAGAAATTGGTGGTCATTCTTCCTGTGCTTCTTGTATGTTCTCCAGTTCTCTTATGAAGCCTAATTTAAGGTTCTTTGATATAATGCCTTGGAAGAGCAAGATCTACATGTTCATATGAAAGTGTCACTTGGATCATATCCCTTTTTTTTTTACCTGACCCTTTAAAAAAAAGATAGATAATAGTTGTACATATTTATGGAGGGGTAGTGCAATGTTTTAGTTATTTTATACACTGTGCACAGATCAACTCAAAATACTTAGCTTTTCCATCATCTCAAACATTTATCATTTCTTTGTGATGACAACATTCAAAATTTTCTATAAGCATAAAAATCAAAAGTTGTTGATAAAGTGGTCATCGTCTTGTTCTCAGTATTTCTGAAAGCTAGAACTTCTCTTGCATTTAATATTTCTTAATTTATTTTGTGATGCTGAGGATTAAACCCATGGTCTTGTACATACCAGGCAAGCACTTTACTACTGAGCTATAACCCCAGACCACACTGATCTAAAAAATCTACAATTTTTCAATTTCATATTTGGAAACATAAGAGATATTGCTAAAAATTCTCAGTTGAATATTATTCCTTAATTTGATTTTAAAAAGGTGAATAATACATTACCTTTGAAACTAGCAGTGAAATGATTTCTTTTACAGTGTTGTCAATCAAATCATCTATTTTTGAATGGTACTGTTGCTAAATATTAAAAGACAAAGATATGTTAGTGGATATCGACACAAATCTTTTGTTGTAAGTCACAAATGCTATAGAGCTACTAGTTATGACATATCATATTTACTTAAAATGATCATTTTGAACATTAAAAAAGAAAACCTTGAAAATGATCCACCCAATCAACACTTTTTGCAATGTGGTTTGAAAATTTTCCCATGTACACTGTTGAGTTAGGCAGCTAATGGGGTTATTATTTAGATGAATTGAATTCTTACTCTTATTCAGGCAGAGGAATGTGAAGGATACTTTTTGTCTTCTCTGTAATTAAGGTGGCCCTGTATTTTTCTAAAGGGTTGGTTTAGCTGGAGAAGCAAAAAGACTAGAAAAAGATTTAATTAATACAGCATTTCATGTCTGACAACTCTCATTCATAAGTTATTTTAAATGTGGCTCTAGAAATAAAATGAACTCCCAATTGTTTTGTCTAAAAGGACCTCTTTGTCAGCACAGGGAGCAGCAGTTTATACAATTCTTACAATATGCTCAAGCCAGGGCAAAATTAAAATTTCATCAACAAAGGCGAATAGATGGTAACAAATTAATAGGCCATAAAAGGTATAGTAAAATGACACTCACTCCCCATAGTTTTATTACTTCTTCTTCATGAAAAAGACGCCTTCGAATAAAAAAAAAAAAAGATGTATTTAAAACAAACCTGAAAGACTCCTTTTTTTGCTTTCTTTTGAGATTAGTAGAGGATCTGTTCTTAAACTAGCAGGAGCATGAGTCTGGGCCTCCATGGCATAGGGAAGCATGTCCATTTAAAAAGTAATTCTTCCTTTAGAAGTATTTATCTGACAGGAGATTGTCCCCAATGGCCACTTCACAGAAAATGTGACTTGTAAAGACTAACCCTATCCTGATGATTCAAGCCTTCTTAGAACAGCTAACATAATGCACAGAGTAAAAGTACTCAGGTCAGGATAAACACTAGACTAACTTAGCAGCTGCTGGTTGAATGACTTCCTAAGATGCAAGTTTTTGAAGGCTATTTTTTCTTTCTTCTGAAAACATGTCAAAAAGTTTCCACACAGAACAAAATGTCAACTTAGGCTTGCCTTGGAATACTCAGAATGATCCCTGCTCCCTCAAGGGCTTTGACAGTGGACATCATCCACTTGCATAAATAATAAAGGTGGCCTTATTTTGGAGCTTTTAAATAATTTCCTGTTCTCTTTGTGTGAGTGTGTATGTGTAATGTCAGTCAAAAAATTAAACACAATATATGACACAGAGCTTTCAAGGCACATCCTGCACCTAGCGAAGCTTATCCAACTTATTTCAAGCCTCTGATTCCCAAATCTATGCTTTCCTGGGGATAAAAGGAATGGAAACATAATGGGTGGGTGAATTTCTATTGCAGTAGAGCTGATAGTTTGCTTTGGGAATAGCTTGAACACAAACAAAGGGGAGAGAGTAAAGAAATAAAAAAGGTAAAACAAAAGAGCCTGAACAAGCTGGCTGACAGTTAAGGTTCTGATCCAGTCTATATTATCAGTAGCTTTCTGAGCCAGGAAGGTCATCACATGAGCTTGTCTAACCAAGTGAACAATTCCAGCTGAGCCTGGTGGGTAGGGTGAACTCCCCACAGACACACTTATACAAAGGGCCCCCAGCTCCTAGCTGAAAGCTACACAGCTGACTGGGTGGCAAAGGAGGTTATGCAAATGAGCTCGGCCACTGTCTTTTCATATCCTCTACCTCCAGACCCATGTCTGTACAGGAGGGAATGTAATACCGGCTGGGTTCCTCTGTGTGGTGGGATTGGGAAGGGATAGAGGAGATGGACATCAAACTCTCCACTTCCACCATGGAAAGTACTCCAATATAGAGAGGGACTGTTGAGGCACCCAGACCTGTAATGGGGTTCTTAAATATGCTTTAGTCTCAATGTTTGGCTCTACTTGTCATAAAATACAGTTTTTTAACTTAAAAGAAATAAAATATCAGAAAGTTATTAGAGGGCTGGGGGCATGGCTTAAGTGGTGAAATAGAATTTCTATGTTTAACTTCTGACTTTTGGATTGGATTAATTCTGGCAATTTTTAAAATCAAGTGCTGAGCCACTAATGGAGTCATTTATACCCATTTTATTGAAAAGCAGGGAAGTTTTGGACCCTAGAATCTAAGAAATTCTCCTGAAATATATACCCTTAGGTTGTTGCTTTCTTTGATACCTGATCTAGGCATATACAGAGAAAGAGAGGAAAAGAAAAAGGTAAAGGGGACCAGAAGAGTGAAAGAATGAGAATGAATGAAAATAGTCATATATGAAGGAGCAGAGAAATAAGTATTGATCTTAAATGTATCACCCAAGGGGCAAACCCAAATAGTATGAAGTTTATTATTTTTTTATAACATGGAATTCTTCTATTGTAAATTTATCTGATTAAATCTGACTTTTCTAACATTACAACCATTGGAAACTTTCAGAATCCATCTGGCAGTTGGTAGAGGTGGTCTGGGCCCATGGGTCAGGATGTACCTAAGAATTCCAATTTTATTTATATGTATATATGTTCCTCAAAGGCAATTACACACACACACACACCGGTTATATGGGGATGTCACAAATAGTTAAAGTTAGTTAGAAAGTTTTGCATCAAAAGATCTGGATAACTTTCAAAGATAAACATTAAATACTTCAAAGAGATCACAAATATCTAAAAACAGAATTTATCTGCAAAGCCATTTACATTGCCTAAGCTAAAATTAATATATTATTTTCTATTTACATAAACAGATAATATTAATAAAAATTTGGAAAGTCTTTGACCCAACATCCAAAAGTTATAAAATTCTCATCTGAATATATCAAGTTGGATGGCCAATCATATAGAACATAACTTTAGTATATTTCAGCTTATTCTTAAGCTAATCTTTTCACATCTACCCTCAAAAGTAAACTGTTTATGCCTTGCTTTTTCAGCAAATGACTCTGAACTTATATTAAGAGAACCATTTAGGAATCTTTACATCATGTAACATAGACCCATCCCCCATACTCAGGTGAATTATCATTGCTGTCTGTTTTCATGCAAACACGAGAAATGAAGACTAAGTAGATGTTACCTAGCTTTCTTAAAAGATTTTAGCCCTTCTCTTGAGATATGCTTTAAAGGGATTGGATTGTTAGCTTTGCAAATGGAAGCATTTTACTTTAATTGAGAACAAATCCTACAGAAGTAGGCCCTATTACTCCCTTGAGTTGCTCCATTATTGTGTTCCCATCCCCAACCAATGGGGCCACAGGATAAAGTGACTCTGAGTTTAGATGAATGTCTACAGCCTGTGCAGTCATCTGCTTTTCTGCAGCAAAAGACAACAAAGATTCTAAACACTGTGGTAGTTTTATGATCTCAAAATCTGTCCCTGAAGGACTGGTCTGAGATTGCTGACTCATTACACACAGCTGTCACATGAACAAATCACTCACTCACTAATCACTCCATTAAACCATATTCTGGGCCTTTGAGAGCATGTTTACATCATCACATGGCATGCAAGAAAGTGGAATTGTAATTTAGGAGCACAGAAGGGGCCACAGTGTGGTCAGAAGTACGGAAGATTTTGTATTGCAGCAAAGACAACAGAACAAATTTAGTATAGATTTCAGAAAGATAATTTCCTTATCACTTAGAAATAATTTCTGTTAGATTTAACTACATATAGTATACATTTTACATGTCTCCAAATTATCCAATAAATTATTTTTTTCCAACAACTTTGTTGCTTTGTATTAAATGATGTCTTCTTGTTCACCTGTGCATGCAATGTATGCACTAATTTGCAACTATCCCAAAACTTAGCAGATACAGAGAAGGGAAACCTCTGTAATTATGTGAGTATATTTACTGGAGATAAGCAAAGTATGTAATCCTTTTTTTTGCACTGAAATTCTTGTTTATCACTTTTCAGGGTTGCTAATAGGTTTTATACCTGCACATTTTGAACTATATTAACTGTGTGAAAGTTGTAGAGAACTAATTGTCTCTGGTGAGAAGGTACAGGTGCAGACATACTGAACAGTAGCAGATTACTCTTCAAAACCATTCACCTTTTAATGTAAAGAATCATTTGACCATGGAACAGAGTTTGTCATTTGTGTGTGCATGCTTGTTTTTCTTTTTAAGTACTAGAGTGAGTTTTTTCTTACAGGAGAGGATTTTTAAAGCAGTGACAACCAATCAGTCTGCTCACTCACTCATCATATATTTACTGAGTGCCTGTTATGTGTCAGGTACTGTGCTGAATGTTAAAATTAAAAAAATGGATATGCCCAGTATTAGTGGGAAGAGGCAAGATGATTCTATAACCTAGATGGGAAAAGAATGGGCTTATAAAAAGACTTAATATTCTCAGGCAGACAATCAAAGGCTTACATCTGGGTATTGAAAAACATGCAGAGGTGATTAGGAGGTATTGGTATCCAAGCCAGCTGCCTACTCATTCAGATAATTAGAGATAATAAATCATGCAGTAAGTGATCAGAGAATGATAATTACTGAACATTCTGTAACACTTCCATGTCAGTTACTCACACATATATTTGTAAGGCTGTATGCTATGGTTTTATAATACACTTTCCCCCCTGAATTGCTCAAAGAAAGAAATGTGACTATACATACTTACATACATATATATGAGTATATATGTGTGTGTATATATATGAATATACATATGTGTGTATATGTTTATGTGTGTGTATATAAATATATATATATATATACACACATGGCATAACCTACAACAACAGCAACAACAAAAGAGTGCAATCTAGCCAATTATGTATGCATAAAGGTTTGGAAACCATGTACCTCAGAGAGATGGGGTGGTACTACAGGAGGACTTGTCTGGGACAAGGGCCAAAGTCTCTTGACATAGGCTGCTTCTTCCTTGTCTCTGATGGTTGTTACCCCCAGGTTATATGGGCACGTGGACCTCAGGGAAATTCACGGTTGGGTTCATATGCATGAAATGACCTTGGGTATGGCCTCCTGATACAAGTATTTTGGGGTTTTTCTGATATGTGTCATATGTCATCTAAAGCTCCAAACTCTAAATTCTTGTGGTATCAAAGGAAGTGTCTATATATTATAAATCCATGTTTGAAAATGTCAGCCATCACTCTGCTTCTAAATTTATTTAGATTCTTCATTTAAAGGAAGGTGAATTTATTTGATTTTAAATAATTTTATCTTTAAAAATCTAAGGGCAGTTTGAAGATTCTGCAGCCTAACAGAAAAAAAAATTCTCTTTGACATTATTTAAAGTATAAGTATTTATATGTGTTTTAATGCAATTTTGGAGTATTGCTGATATAATAAGCTGTTAGACATATATATATATATACACACATACACAGAAGGAAAAACCTGAAAGTGGAATTAGTTGCATTATTTTAATATGAAATGCTAAAAATAAAAAACGTGTCTTTCTGAAAATAATAATTCAAATGAAAATGTGCTTCGCCCCTCCAAAAAAAAAAAAAAAAGAAAGGAAGAAAAGATAGAGACTTACCCATTGACTACCAAACTGGATCATGCCATGGAGGAAATAAAAATGATGGTGAAAGAGAACATAAGGGAAGAATAAAGAAATGATGAAAACATAATCACAATGGGAAAAAAAACAACAAAATGTCAAATGGATAATCTAAGAACAATAAATCCATTTCCATGCAACTACCACAATTAACAAAAATAAACCATGGAGTAAAATGAAACTGTATTTTTGTATTTAAAACCAAACGAAATATGAATGGAAGTGAAATCATGGGCTATTCTTGATAAATAGGCCTAGTTTTTATTTAAAGTATATTTCTTTATTATGACTACTAATACTTTTATTGTTGTGTTGGGTGGCAGTACATTGTGGCATTTACAAAAGTTCTTTTTAAAGTATATTTCTACTTGAGCTTTAAAAAAACAAACTTTTTTGTAAATAAAATATTTCTTATGCTATTTTTTATGCTTGCTTTTATGGATGCAAATTCTTGATACTCTAAATTTGTATAAACAAAGTAGATTGCTTGTCAGCTTTCTTATTTGCTTGTAGAAGGCAAGGTTTATGTAAATACACAACACCTAAAATGTATATCTGAGAAGCAAAGGCCACTTGTAAAATTTTAGGCAGCATTCACATAAAAAAGGTGAGGCTGTAAGGAACCAAGGATCCTCCTGGACTGGGGCTCCCTGCACTGTGGACATGCGTGCTCCACGCTCCACTCACCTCCTGTCCTGCATCCAGAGCACAGAGCTTAGTGGTTTGTTTTTTGGCATCCACTAGTACATTAAACATCGTACACACGGAAGCTGGAATGCGCAAGTCAGTTGTTTTGCTTGCCTTTTGCAGCTTGAGTTCAAATGCACTTCGTGTTCTAGTTATTAAAATATAAATTCAGAGTAAGAAATTCTGACATATGCCCCACCTGTTTTGTAAAAGTGAAATCAATACTACAAGATGTTAATTTAAAACATGCAAATAAATAAGTAGTATGGCAGAGCTTGGGAGCTAGGGAGTGGGATGTTCTTTTCAGGCTCTCAAATGAAAGGTTAGAATGAGATATTTTACATAAGAACAAACATTTTAAGTGCTCTTTATTAAGAGCATTTTGGGTGCTAGATTTATGCTGTCACTCAAGACAAGATCATTATCCAAATAAAGCATTTTGTTATATCTACTATATAACACTTAAGGGAAAAACGTCATAGTTTTACTTAGCTGCTTGAGTTAAGTATTTAACTCTATTTTCTACTATTTTTCCAAGTAGAAAAATATGCTTTTCTACATTAAAGTAGAACAAGTGAGAGCTTAGCAAATTAAAAAAAAAAATGCACAAGTCTGGAAAACTGTAAAATATTATAATGCACAACAGAGAACATGTAATTCTTTTATGTCACTTAAATTCTCTTTTAAACACTTCAAGTCGCAGGTAGGCTTTTGAAAGAAACTGCATAATGGTGATTTGGAATAGGTTTTGCTAAAGTACCCAGACTATCCACAGATTTGAGTTATCAGAACCACAGATGATTTTTTAAAAAATTAATCTTATTCATAGCCTTGCCTTAGAAGACTTTTAAACATTATAAACATTATTCTAAGGACAGAACTTTTCTTGGTTTAAAGAATTTAGAAACAGTCAGTTGCTCCAACCAGTGTTGGACTGTTAATCCAGTGTTCTTAAACATATCATAAATCAGGGCAATGAAAAAATAATGCTTCACTAACAGGATGCAATTCTGATTTTATAAGAACTATAAGAGAATGTAAAGCACATGTGGAAGAATCAAAAGCTTCACAATTTCTTTCTGGTTAAGTGCTAAATAATGCAAACAGACACCTGGAATTCAGCTGATGTGAACAGAAAATACCAGGAAAAAAGTTTGAGCAATCCCCAACAAATGATGTGCTGATCATATTTTGAGTTTGCCATGCGTTTTGTAGGACACAGACACAGTACATAATGCATAAAGAACTCAGCAGACCTTTTCCATATGTCTCAGGAGATATTTCCTTGGGAATTTAAGGCACAATATTATCAGAGTGATAATAAGCACAACAGAAATGAATGAAGGAAGCATGGGTGCTTCTGATTAGAGTTAAGTACGGGAGACCTGAAATACAAGGTATCATCAGGTCAAATGAATCAATTTCATAGTTTCTCAGAATTTAGGTCAGAGAACCTAATTCCCATTACATTTTGGAAAAGTATACAAATAGAATCCTTTCTTGTGACAATTATGAAAAGTTGGCAGTTGGTGAAATGTGGTATGTTGGGTGCTGGCATATTAAGCAGCAATTTGAAAAATACATGTCTACCTTTTGACACAGGCCTCTATCATATCACTGGCCATTAGTTTAAGTCTTTGCTCTAAGTGGTGGGCAAATTCTTGTTCTGGCCAATGTAGATCGAAGACAAACATTTGTAGTGCATCAAGTTTCCAAAATAGGTCTTCTGATGTTGCTGAGCCATTGCTGGAAGAAAAAGGAAAAACGAAGAACTGTCATGAACTTCTATGGTTCACTATGTTGGCCACCACCACAGTGCATTTTTTTCTTTCTGTACCTATCACTATCAGTGAAAAAAATGCCACATAAAATCTCTAATGATGTGATATTTTCTTTGTTCAATCTTATAATTCTTTCTTTCCACTTCTTAGTAAGGCATGGCAAAGAGAACAAAATAGAAATAAATGAAATAGTAAGCTTTCATAAAAAGGTATAAAATGGGTAAGGATACTTTACTAAAGAAAATAAATTATGTATATAGTAATAAACATTCTATTTTTTTTAACAATCTCTAGGATAAAGGTCAATATATAAAGTTTTCTCTTAGAAATTAGTAAGTTAAAAATATCCAAAAAGTGTGTTTTATGCCAGATATTCTCATGACAGCTCTCAGTAGTTTTACTCTTTCCTTCCTGGAATATGCCCCTGTCTTCATGATGGCTTCTGTATATCTATAGGTATAGATACAGCATCTGGTCCCTTACATTCCTCAATTACAGGTAAAGATGAGACAGGTACCAGAAACAAAATACCAGGCCATGTAAGGCATCAATCCTTCATTTCTGTTTTGAAATGCTTTGTGCCTAACTCATAACTAAAATCTAACTTAGTACAAGGTAAGGTCTAACATTCAGAGTAATGTGAACTTGGACCATTTCAAGTCTTTAGAGTAGAGCCAGGACTTGCTATGTATGAAGTTAATTTATAAAAGAATTCATATAATATTTGGACAAAAAATAATGCTACTACTTTCCAGTATCCAAGTACGTAGAGTAATAAGGCAACAGATGTTTAAAAGTAAAATATTCCTACATATTGAGATTCAACTGTAAAAGAGAACAAAGCAAAAGCAACAAGCAAAAAAAAAAAAAAAAGCTGCTGTCTGATTCATTTGTTATCAGCTTTTTTACAATTGTTTCACAAATACTAACTTAAAACTTATGTTTTTATTTTGCAAAAGAAAATGAAAGAAATAAAACAAACTCATTTATTATAAAGGGCATAAAGGAAAACTTTAAAAAATAAAATTATTTTAAATAACCACATTGTTTAGCTAAACAATTTTAATTAGCTAGCTTTAGAAAAATCACCCTTTGCACTGGCTAATTAAAAGCTTTGTTTCCGCTCTCCACCATGGCCTCTGTGTCTCAGTCATATCACCAATCTGCGTTGCTTTTCCCCTCTCATTCTGCCAATAACTCTTTGTGATCTCCTGATCTAGCCAAGATATCCTCAGATAAGTTCCCAAGGGACCAATCACAGCAAAACAGTGAACAGTGCCCAGAGAACTTTACTCAATGTCTCTTCACCTTAATATACACCAAATGTGCCATTAAATAAGAACCAGACAGTGCAATGCAGACACTACTGTGAAAAATATGTGAAGAAACACTACCTTTACTTCTCCTTTTTGCCATATATAAAATAAAAATAAGAGGAAAAAATGGTTGGCAAAATCTCCCCTTTATATTTGCAGACTATATTTAGTAGATTAGAAGACTTATGTTTTAATTGGATATAATTGGCAAAGAACCAAATCTGCTTAATGTAGTTTTTTCCTTTGGAGAAATATAATTTTTGAAATGTACATATTCTTTTCTAACACAATGACAACAAAAAACATTAAAAACAAAATCTCAAACAGTAATGGCAGATTCTATTAAAAACTGACTTCTGAAAAATATGTAACAAATCTTTACAAAGAATATGGATATTTTTTTTTCTGTTTAAAGCTATGCTAAGATTCTAGACAATAAATGTGTTTAATTGGGAATGTAATTAAGATAACAAGTGTTTATGGTAATTAAATAGATAAAAAATATAAATAGGTTTTCTCTGGAGTTGGTGCATATAACTTGCAATTTATTCAGAGCTTTTACATTCTAAATTATTTCTAATCAGTGACCTATTCCTAACAGTATTATTAACAGATTACAGAACTCAAATGTGACTAAAGGGCTCAGATCATTTCCTGAGTATGCCAGCAAGAAATTTACCTTACTGGCATTCATTTTATACAGAGAGATATATGGGGGAAACACCTCTTTTTTGCTTAAGGAGTTCTTCAACATGAGTCATGTGTCAGTAAGTAGATGGCTCCTCATATCTATGGTATTATATTTACACATATATATTATGTTTCTTTATTTTTATGGTATTGGGGATTGAACTTAGGGCCTTGTATATGCTTGGCTTGTTCTACCCGTGAGCTACATCTTCAGCCTGGTTGCTTTTATATGGTTTTTAACTTAAGCAGTTGTTGTAATAGGAAATGGAGATATTTCTTGTTATTTAATATTTGATAATAAAACTTCAGAAAGTGAACTGCAATGACATCTTAACATTATGAGTAATTCTGGGTACCATGACAAAGAACCTACTGTTGATAACCTTGGTAAGTAAAGACAATGGCTATCAACTTGTGAAATGCATTCTCTATTTGCCTAGAATGGTTAAAGCACAATCACTTTATAAAGCCAAATTTTCATGATTCCTGACTTCAGATTCATACCATATTAAAAAGTGGTTCTCAATAATAATAATAAAGGATTGAGGTCTTACACAAATCCCAAAGCTAATAAAATAATATAACAAGAAACTAAGTTGTACAGGATGATGTCTACAATAGTGTTCTTGGATAAAATCAAGGGTGTTGAGTGGATGAGGAATAAAGAGGAAGAATTATATTACACAGCAGTATAAACAGGTACCAAACACCATAACTTAGGAAGGTTTATCATTCTTTGTAGGTAATTCTGAGCACACATAGATACCACTCTACACACTATAATGGTTCAAAGCATTTGCCTGTAAGAAAAAGATTCAAATGTAACATAATATCCTACTAATTAGATTATAAATCCAGTGATGAAGTACAGCTTGGAGAAATATTGCCAAACTGTTTTGCAAATTATTGTTCCCTTTCTTCATCTTTTCCTCTTTATTTTCTTGACTGGATACATACTAAACTGAGTGTAGATTTGACAGTTGGTGGCAGGATAGAGAGAAAGCTAATTAAGTTTTTAAGCATTTGTTTTCTGGAAGTAGAATAAACTTAAAAGGACTAAGAGCTTTGGGATCAAGCAAGCCTGGGCTCAAACTTTGCCTCTGTGCTATGAGATATTAGGCAATTTTTGCTTCTTAACTTCTCTGTGAATGTGAGGTTTCCTTAACTGTAAAATGGAGATAATGACACTTACTTCAGAGTTGTGATAAGGATTAAATGAGATAAAGACCTTGGCACTGTATCTAGAACACAGCACATTCTCAATAAACAAAATTTTCTAATTACTCTCAAAACTGAATTCAATTGAGATACTGGGCGTAGATCTTGGGCAAATATCTTGGGTTTGTCTGAATTCTTATTTGTAAACTAGGTCTATTCCTCAGGTAGTTTGATTGTTTCAAGATTTATAGTTTTAAAAACAACAGGTATAAATAATGATGATGACTGATGATGGCTGTAATAATAACATAGATAGTAGTAATTGTCATTTATTGAGCACTTAGGATGTATCAATAGTAGCAATTATTAAAGGTCTAGGATGTGCCAGGCACTTTTATACAGTTTTTTAATCCTTACAAAGTATCTTTAAATTAGGTGTCATAACCATTTTAGAGCTGAGGAAAGTGAGACTAAGAAAGTTTTATGATTAATAAACTAAGATCTCAGTTCAGGCCTGATCAGTTTCAAAGCCTATAACATTTTACTTTAATGACTCATAAATTATTGAACCTGCAATAGGCAGGTTCACCACAGTGCAGAGTTAACGAATATGGATTATAAGAGTATAAAGATTATCTTAAAATAAGAAGTCTACCTCATATATGAAAGGAACAAAAGAACTCCCTGATCTTAGATAACTGCTTCCCTGCAAGGTGTGACAGTGCTTATTTAATGTTTAGACTAGCATGAGAATAGAAAAAGATTATATCTTGAAATCTTTCTCATAATGGTTTTCTACATTTGGGTCACAAAATGACCTCTGCCCTACAGATTAGATATGAATTACATCAAACCAGTGTAATTTTTTTTTTCTTTTCAGTCTGCATCATTTATCATCGCTATGCTAAACTTAGTTTAGTAACTTAAAACACTGAACAAAGAAAACCAAAAAACATAGTGTTCCTCAACCAATGATGATAAATGCCATGCAATGTACACACATCTGCATAGAACACAGCCCAGGCCATGCACTAGCTAACACAGCACCAGGAAATAAGTGAGGGATACACACGTGGACTCATATAAAGAAGCCATCCATGAAGGAGTAGAAAAGCTAGGAATCTGTGGAAGATTAAGAGGCAGACTTGGAACTTTTGGAAGAGCTATATTGGGAAGACTGTTGGCGATATTCCTGTAAAGAAACAAACAACGTGGGAAGGGACCACCATAAGCAATAACTACAGATGGCCATCTGTAAAGTCATAAGGTCAGGACTGAGAGACAGATGCTCTGTGGACACCAGGTAAGATACCTACTTGACAGGCTGCCATGTCTCTTGTTCGAAACCTCTGTGAATTGACTGGGCGATGGAAGATTCCATGAGGTCGACGTATCGGACAACCATGGGCACAAAGATCTCTTGCAAGTGTTTGTGAAATTTTCCATTACATAAAAGTGCTGCAATACCAAAAAAAAAAAAAAAAAAAAAAAAAAACAGGGTTTGTCAGAAGGGTATCAGCCATTTGGAAAATGTGAGTGAAAAAGTTTCCTGAAAGAGCTTGATGCTGAAGAATGGATAAGAATACAGGTATACAGGTGATAAGGCAGTTTGTTCTCTATATTGAAAATATCATGGAAATTGATTAAAAGGTATAGTTAGCTTTCTATATATGGCTGTCAAAACAAAAATAGATTATATCTCTACACAGTGCTTCTGGCAGGTGGTATGTTTATACTTTCTAAGCAGCTTAACACATAGGCACATGTTACTTGCTAGAAATTGAAGGGAGCTGCGGCTCCCTAGAAGGCCTTGTCACGTGTAAATGCAGCAGTTAAGCTGAGTTAGAAGCCCTATGCTGGGCCGCACAACCCAGAAGTGACAGACCTGTTCAACTGTAACAAGTAAACTTGATTACTTCTAAGAGCTATGCTTAGGAGGGTGACTGTGGCCTTGGGAATATCTATTCTGCTTCATGAAGTTTTCCTTGTTTGTAGATTTTCTTTAGAGGTATCCATTTTGTACACCTGTTTCTTTTTTTTTTCTTTTGTTAGTGTTGCAGATCAAACCAGGGTTTCTGGCATACTAGGCAAGTGCCCTACCACTGAGCACATCTGTATTTAAAAAGTCCATTATATACATTTCCTCAGTTTTCCATTAATATTGAATGAGTGGTAGTTTGGAATACTCTATCTAAGGCAACTATAGATGTCTTAGAATTTGTGCTGCTGGGGGAAAACTTCTGGCCAAAGTATATCAGCCTCCTTCAGGAGATGGATGTTTTCCATGCATAGGATACAATTAAAACAGATTGGTGTGTGCCCAAACTGCACCTAGATAGAACAGAGGATCTGTAGGAAAACACTAAGTAATGCTTTACTGCTGCGCTGAGTTTTGCCTTATGCACTCTCTTATGTAATCATTGCAAAACTATGAAAGAGGAAATACATTTTTAAAATGTTATCAACAAGGAAGCTGAGGCACAGAGAGGTTAAAATATCTGCTTCAGATCATTTAGTCATAAGGCAGTAGAACAAGGATTTGATAGCAAAGCCCCATGTTAACTTCTATAGATTCTAATGCTGTTAGTCCTTTATTTAGGTAACCATAAACTATTGTCTGTCCATCTGTGCATTCATCTATTCACCCATTGTCAAGCTAACATTAGCACATAAACAATTTGTCATTTTTTTAGTTAGTAGAGCTCAATCTAGTGGTTGATATTTCTCAAATGAACACTTTTTAAACTCAGCTGTGACTTTTTTTTTATGATTTTCAAAGTGAGCACAGTATTCCATGTTAAGGAAAGGTATATATAAAAATACAGTGTTTTAGTTGAATCTGAATAATAGAAGAGCTTCTCATGGAAGCTTTGGAAAGAAGACTGACAGGTAGAGAGAACAGCTAGCATAAAGTTCTGGACAGGAATAAGCTGGTGTTGTCTGAAAAGATGAGGAGCACAGTAAGGAAGGGGAAAGAGATGTTCATGGAAGTGTTTAGATTCTAGGACATGATGAGAGCATGTTTTATTGGGTGAAATGAAAAGATTTATTATTTTTATTGTGAAGTAGAGGAGTGGTATGGTATAATCTCTCTGGATGATGGCCAAGACAGCACAGGAGGTTAGAAACCAGTTTTTCACTACAGGAGAGTAGGCAAAGAGTGATGGTAGCTTTGATTGGAGTGGCAGGCATGGAAATGGGAAAAAGTCTCTCAGCAATCTCACTCACTTTTTATGGGTTTGAATATCATGCTGACAGTTACCAAATTTACTAACTAGCAACTCTAACAGTCCTATCTTATAAATAAAATACTCAACTAAATATGCCAGTTTCCTGTACTATCTTTTTCAGTGCAATAATATACCAGAAGTCTGGTGTTTTAAAACTTGTGAAACACATATGACATTTTCCACTATGGTACGTATATGAAAATTCCATTTATGTATTTATGTGATACTGAAATTTGTCAGTGACTCCACAAATACAGAGTTTTAGAAAGTAATTCTAAATCCAGAAAGATATCTAAGTGATTTTTTTCTCTCTCTGATATGGTTTAGTCTTGTGGTTAAAATGTGTTTTCTTATCTATCTGCATGCTAAAAGATTTCCTATCAAAGTGGGAATAATAACATTAAATTATAAATGTCTTATTTAGAAGACTAATGATGTATCTCATTAGCACGGTGAAAGGAGCTTTATTTATTCTTGGAGATTGAGTCTTAGAGTTAGAGGGCACTGCAGAGCATGAAATTCAGCTGCTTTTATGAAATGTCACCTAAGTAGGGATGTTAAAACTGTTTTTTGCTTGTTTTTTGGTGGTATGGGGGTTTGAACTCAGGGTTTTACACTTGCTAGGCAGGTGCTTTACCACTTGAGCCACTTCTCCAGTCTTGGCTGTTAAACTTTAAGGGTAAAATGTTCTCATTATCAAAATCATTGTGATAGTCAAATTAAAACAATACTGAAATATGATATTTTTGGCTCTTTATTCAAGAAACTTGTTCTTCTACTTTCTCCTCCTCCTTAGCATTTTTGGAGTGCCAGGCTCTGTGCTAAGTTGCAATGTGTACTCTCTTACTTAATCATCACAAAACTATGAAAGAAGAAATATTTTTTAAATCTTATTAACAAGGATGCTGAGGCACAGAGAGGTTAGGGTATCTTCTTAAGGCCATTTAGTAATAAGGCAAGTAGAACCAGAATTTGATAGCAAAGCCCCATGTCAACTTCTATAGATTCTATGTCATCATTACTCTATTTAGGTTACCATAAAGTATTGCCTGTCCATCTGTCTATTTATTTATTTATCCACATGTCAAGCTAACACCAGCGTATCAATATATTTTAAGATCTAAAAATGTAGTAAATTTTTAGATAGCAAGTATTGCAAACAACAAACATATTACATTGTATCTTCAATGTTTTATATGTTTCCAGTATTAGAATTTGGAAAAAACTCAAATACAATATGAAAAAGTCAAGTTGAGCAAAACTATTACACTTAATGAATTGAAAAAATAAATTAACATTGTGAAAATACTCAATGAGCTGATAATACAACCTTCATTGAAAGTTAGAAAGTTTTAGGCTGCCATACAGTAAGACTATATGCCTAAGCCCTAATTTATATGATATATTACTTAATCAAAACATAAAGGACTTTAGGCTTTCCATACTGATGGTTACTGGTAACCACTGTCATTATTTTAACTACACCAAGACCTAAACACATGTTTATGTAACAAATTATTACATCTACAAATGAGCACTGCACCTCATCAATTCAAACGCTACTTTATTATACATTTAGAGATATTGGTTGTTGTGGCAGTGAAGCCATACTTTGTTAAAAAGAAGACAAGAAGAATTATATTCAATGTTGTTATTAAATTTTATGATGATTTTAAGATTCAATAGCAGTTGACTCAAACGTATTTGTGGCAAGAGCTCTCCTTTTAGATGCATTTGATAAGCAGTGGATTAGTTAACTGATCAGTACACATGGAGGTGGGAATCACAAGCCTATCCCTCGCTATATCTAATTGGTAATTAAGATGTGTATTTTCTGTACATATTTTTCTACTACGTCTCCTTTCTCTCGCCATCATGATTGCAGCTACACTAGCCTGGTCCTCTCTTCTATCATGACTCATGCAATAACCTCCTAACTGGCCTTCAGGCTCCTAATTTTCCCTCTACCAACATATCTGAAAATCTCAAGCAGAGGGGACTGCTACAATGCAAAACTAATAATGCCATTCCTGAGGATTATAATAGTTCAGTGGATCACCATGACAAACTCTAAAAGACTTAGCATGGTATGGGATTTCCAAGTTCTATCTTAAAATTACCTCTCTAGCTTGTTTCTGTTGCTTAACTCCCCCATTTCCGGTGGTACAGTCATAATGAATTTTTATGATTCAATTCAAATCCTCAAATCCTTTCAGAAATGCTTCATTCAGCTGTCCCTTTTCCTAGCTACTGGTTTCCCGTGTTTACATACCCTATGGTGTATAGGTTTCTACTGTGGTCTTTGTTATTATAAGGGGTCTCTGTACTTGTTGGTCAATCTCTCTCTCTGATCAAATAATAAGATTACTATCCTGTTACTCAGAAGAGTATATTGAATGGCAGCCATAGAACCCTTTGAAGTCTGCATTTTCCCTCCTACTTTATATAATCTATGTGGTGTTAGAAAATAATGCACTAAGAAATACTATTATTGATTCACATGTTCAAGGTCACACTGCTAAAAATTCTATTGGATATAAACTGGTGATTTGGTGTCTCTTGTTGTAATGAATGTGGCAAATAGATTTTCTCTGGCCAGTCATCACTCTCAATAGCAAGTGAATACTTCTCACAGAATTTGGAGAAAATGGGGATTATATTTCCTCTATACTACAACAAATCTTGAATTCTGGCCAAGTTTGCTCATATTTCAGCTTAGAGTTCCATGTCATTTTATTTTATTCTATTATTTTATTTATTTTACTGCTGGGCCTAGAACCCAGGGCCTCATGCATGGTAGGAAAGTGCTCTAATCCTGAACTACATCCCCAGCATTACTTTTCCTTTTTTTAAACAAAAGAAACTCATGAACTACATTTGAAAATTTTAGAAAACTGACAATATAATTTCTTGGTAATTAGGGACAGGAAGGAGAAAGGAGAAAGTAAGAGCAGGAGATAGAAAATTTGTGAGAGAAGGAAGGGAAGGGAAGGAGAGAGAGATAAAGAGGATGGAGAAGGAGAGAAAGGAAAGAAAGCATTGTGTTTTGAAAGGCAAGGCTGAAGAAATCCATGCTGCACTGCACTTGTCTATGTAAATGTGTGCTCTTTCTCTTGGTTGCCCATATACAGTCTGCATCTTACTCCTGCCAGACACTAACAAAAGCCCCTCTTCACACGTAGCCTGAGGCATCAGAACAAATGCTTCATCTTCTCCATCTGGTTATGA